GCTAACAACTGTCTGTGACTATAGACCCAAGGGATCTGATGATGTTCTCTTCTGACCTCTGTGGGCATATTGAATGTGATGCACAGATACATATGCAGGCAAAATACCTATGCACAGGAAGTAAGAAATACTTCATTTTAAATCTCTACAAAATGATAAGAAAGTTAGACAGATGCGTATAAACACTTATTAATCAGAATGAGATCTTTAATGTCCTTTTTTCCTTGGTCAAAGTTTCAGCTCAGTAATACAGTAAAAGCATCTTCTGACTCAAAGGAAAACACCTGCAAACTTGTTAAAAACTTGGAACATATGATCCCAGACTCTCTTATTGTTATTAATTTAAGACGTTAGGACCTGGTGAACTTTCCAAAGAAATGACTGAAACAGCACGGAGAGCACCAGACAGTGTCAAGGATTGTCGTCCTCAGATACCTGTGAGGGGCAGGATGGACAAAGTTGAAAAACCAGCAGAGGAGTTTTCAAAATTTATCCCTAAGCTCATCAGTCATAAAATATTAGAAACAAAGGGACTAACCAATGTCGATATGAAAACACAACTTTCGCTTTAAAAGGCATAAGAGATAATTCTGGAGTCAAATATGACGAATGACGGCCTAGGAACAAGGATTCAGGTTACACCAAATACCACATGTCAGCAGTCAGTTTGGTGAAGTTGTCATAGTAGCAGAACAACAAATAAAGGAACGAATAAAAGCACTTAAGGTACTTTGGTCTGAACATCATATAAGGAAGTTAAAGGAAAGCAGGGAAATATCTGCTAAAGGTCTTGGATGCTATCTGATGACACTTTTAGCCTCTGAGTAGGTAGAAGCTAATTATCTGTCAGTCCATGCCAAAAAGATTTGCTTAACAGTCATAAGGTTGACAGGTCAGAGACAGGCGTAGTAAGAAATCCACGTCTCTTACGAGGGCTAAATATAGCTCAAGACAATTGGCTTTAAACCTACAATATTATAGCTCTCGACAATCATAGAGTTTTTATCTATCTATCTATCTATCTATCTATCTATCTATCTATCTATCTATCTATCTATCTATCAGCCCTGTAGAATTTGTGTGTGTGTGTGTGTGTGTGTGTGTGTGTACACATATATGTGTGCATATCATTGTATTTGCATGGCTGGAGGTTGGAGACAACTTGTGGGGGCTGTCAGTTCTCTCTTCCTATCATGTAAGCTCGGGTCATCAGCCTTGGCAGCAAGCTCCTTTACCCACTGAGCCATCTCATACATCTCAGCCCTTATACATACTTCCCCCTTATATATATATTTTATACCAACACCAAGAATTCTAAATAAAAGAAACTCATGCCTCACAATGTCTGTTTTTATTATCAACACCCAGATACTGGAAAATAAATTATCTACTTAAAAATTAAGATTATTTAGCTATCCGCCAGGAGATAGGAAATAGACAAGAGTCCCAGATCCTTCATCTGGCGATGGATGGAGATAGAGACAGAGACCCACATTGGAACACTGGACTTAACTCCCCAGGTCCAAACAAGAAGCAGAAGGAAAGATAACGTGAGCAAAGAAGGCAAGATCAGAGGGAACCTTCATCCGACGATGGATGGCGATACAGACGGAGACCCACTTTGGAGCACCGGACTGAGCCCCCCAAGGTCCAAATGAGGAACAGAAGGAGGAAGAAAATGAAAATTAGTCCTAATTAGTAAATTAGGACTGTGAGGGATGCGATCACCCACTGATACAAGGGGACTGATCTAATGAGAGTTCACCAAGGCCAGTTGCACTGGGACTGAACGAGCACGTGATCCAACCAGATTCTCTGAATGTGGCCGGATTCTCTGAATGTGGCTGGCCCGGAGTCTTTCTGAAAAGCCATTGACAATGACACTGGGACTTGTTTCCTCTGCATATATTGGATTGTGGGGATCCAGTCTGTTTGGATACTCACCTTCCTGGACCTGGAGGGAGGGGGGAGGAACTTGAACTTCCCACAGGGCAGGAAACCCTGACTGCTCTTAGGGATGGAGAGGGAGGAGGAGAGGGAGTGGGGGGAGTGGGAGGGTGTTGGGCAGAAGGGTCGAAATTGAAACTTTCATAATTTAATAAAATTACTTTCTCAAAAAAATTACATTTATTTTTTTAAGAGTTTCATACATGTGCACAGTATTTATGCTATTTCTCCTCCTTTTTCTACCTCTAGGTCCTCCCACCTCTTCCCTCCTCAGCTACCTCTCAAGCTAAGGGCTTCTTTTTCTTTAATTATTGTTATTACATACATGCATATATATGTATGTATATGTATGCTTAAATGAATACATGCACAAATAATACCTACTGAGTTCATTTAGTGTTGATCATTTATATATAAGCATATGTACATGTATATACACATACAAACACACACACACACACACACACACATATTAGATCTGAGCACTTAGTATTGGATTGTGTCTATTTACTGTTACAAATGGTTTCTCACTGGAAAGACCCCTTGATCTGACTCCCCAGAAGAGGGTCAATATTGGCGTTGCTCTGATGGGCTCTCTGTTAAACTACCTCTCATCATTCTTTTAAATAAAGAATATTAAGATTAATGGGGAATCTACAGTATTACTGTATCTGTTTAAACCCAGTCATCATATATCAACAAAGATATTTCTGTAGTAGTAGGTTATAATCAGGCCCAAAATGTTCATATGTCTAAATATATCATTTGTCACTTGGATAATTCTCAGGATTTCATAATATATCTTTTTATGAGAGGCTACTGCCAAGACCTAAGGAGGTCAGAGAGAGAATTTCAGAATTTATCATCAATCCTGAGCCCAAGTTGCTCTGTCCATTGCAGACAGAAGTTGGCAGCTCAGTGACCTTACTCCTAAGCTGACAGGAAAAATTAAAAATTAAAAACATCAAAGTTATAAAATCCAAATGCAGCTTGTGAAATTTCTCTCCAAATTATAATATAATGTAATTAACAATAATATAGGAATTCAAAATCTAAAGGGGATGAGGGGAACACAGGAGTTGGACAGTGTAGGGATGATTGGAAATTATGTAAAACCCTACTTGTGTATGAATTTCTCAAAGTTTTAAAGTTAAAAAAGTTCAAAAGTGGGGTATTTTGGGTTTTCTTTTTGGATTCATTCTAGGGTGTTTTAAATATGATCCCATTGCCTGTGAAAGCTAGGGCTGCTCAGGGACTCTTGTCAGCTGGGGTGAGCTGAATGGAACAAGAACTTTAGATTTTTATCTCTAGTTCTTATAATAAATACTCCAACCCTAAAAGATAAAAAAAAGTCAATGCATGAAGTTGACAATTAGTTAAAGGCATCTCTGAAAGAAGAGAAGGCAATATCAAAGACACTAGTAGATCTCTAGTGTAAGACTTTCTTTTCTAGTGTACCCCCCGTGCAAGTGGTTCCCAGGGGTACATATTCACTTAGCTTTCTTTCGTTATTTAACAGTCAGTGTCTTGAAAAACCAACAGTATGCTTCGCTACATCTATACTAGCTGACTGGCTTACTAAAGCTTTGTCCATTTTCCCACACTAGGATTTGGCTAAGATACAAGACCTGTTCTTATTCAATATGTAGATGAACTTCTCTGATCTCCTATGACAGATTCAAACTAAGAATTTTTTTTTTTAACAGCCCTTAGCTTGCAAAATCCACAAACCCTTCATGGACCATCTCCAAGTTGCCAGAGAAAGGAGCCATTCTTCAGAATAAGAATCTGACTGCGGCAGTGACTGCTCTTTAAGCTGACAAAAATAAGGTCGTTTGCAGTTTCTCCATTTCCATTCTTACAAGGCAATTATTTGAATTTTCTTTTAGACTCAGAATCTTACAGGTCTTGCAATGGGTCTTTGCTGGCATCTACCCTGAATTACTTCCAACAGTCTTTCTTCTAAAAGGATTCTACAAGTGGGCCTTTGGCCAACTCAAACTGGCTCCAAAGCAGCGTGCAGCCTCAGGACTATCAGGTTACAAGCAGCCTTTCACCGCATTTTTGTAGCTGTGAGTTCTTACTCAGGAACTCATAGATGTAGGAGGCATTGCTTATTTTTGTCTATAATTGGATCCAGTGACTAAAACACACACAAAGTAGTCAGGGTGGCAGCCAAGTTGTTAGGAATTTCACCTCGCCAAATATTAGTAAATGAACTATATTTGTTGATCCTACATGCTATTGAAGGCTTCTTCAATTCTGACCAGAGCCAATATTTTTCTGGTGAGCAGACTAATATCTTATGAAACCCATCTCCTATCACCTTCTAATCTTTAGCTCAGGTGTTGTAACCTATACAGTGCTGCTACTTGTTATTCTTGTCTGGTAATCAAAACCAACTGTGGGAATGTATATATAACACAGATTTTGACCCTTATTAAATTTAAAGATGTTAGACAATCTTAAGCTAACACTTTTTGTTGGTAGGTTGGTTGTCTGTCAAACACAAAGAAGGAGGGAGCTGAGGAAAAAGGCTCAGTTAGTTGGCAAAGTCCGTGCTGTGTAAGAATGAGGACCTGGGTTTGGATCTCTGGCACCTTAAGGCAGAGTTGTATGCATCTGTAATTCTAACACATGGACGGATGCAGAGACAGGTGGATTCCTGGATCTCAGTTGTCATTCAGTTTGTGAGTGTTAGGTTCGGTGAGAGATCAGGTCTCAAAAGATAAGGTGGCGTGCTACTGGTAAAGACCGGGAATGTCAACCTCTGGCTTTTACATAACCCACTAAATAGATACCCACTTTCTTTGCACAACAGTCCTATCTGTCTCTGTCTCTCACCTGCCGCGTGTCTCCTTGCCCGGGACCCACTGGTTCTTTGTGGCCCACTGCCCACTGCAGCCACTCGGGGAATGGCGCCGTTTTACTTTTACCATAACACCCACTGCAAAGGAAAATAAATTTTCTTCAAAAACCCTCTTGAAGATGACAGAGGCTTGTGCCTATGGTTCATTTTTGGTTCATATCTCATACAAAAAAGGTGGCGCAAGGAAGGCTGCAGATGAAGACAACGCATTGATCGTCCTACTTGGCTGTGAGCCCTGTGAAGTATAAGATGAAATGTGTCCACCTGTACAACAGCGGCACAGCTAGAATGGAGGATAATCAGCCACTCTTTGATTGGATCGGAGGTCTACTTCATAGGAGGGAATCCATGCCTGGTAAAGGAAACCTGGCATGACAGGTGAGATCTACACCCTGTTGTTTAGCCAAATGTATACAACATCAAATTGCTCTCTCTCTCTCTCTCTCTCTCTCTCTCTCTCTGTCTGTCTCTCTCTCTCCATATATATATATATATATGTATGCATATATATGGAGAATATATATATATATATATATATATATATATATATATATATATATATATTCGAGACAGGGTTTCTCTGTAGCTTTGGAGCATGTCCTGGAACTAGCTCTTGTAGACCAGGCTGACCTTGAACTCACAGAGATTCATCTGCCTCTGCCTCCGAAGTGTTGAGATTAAAGGCACATGCCACTACCACCTGGCTTCTAAATATTTTGTATGTTTGCAGTCATAGACAAATGTTACTCTTGACTTTATTCAGAGATACTTCTTTCCAGTAAATGGAGATCAATTCAGTTTCACCGCTGGAAAAGGTGCTAAGAGTAAGCGACAAATGTGTGCTTAGCTCTAACAATAAATTTATACCACCCCCTCTAAACTCAGGGAATATAGCAGGAAGGCGGAAAGAATGTAAGAACTGGAAGATAGGTCTGCTGATTTGTTTTATGTCAACTAGATACACATTGGAGTCATTTTGGAAAACAAAACCACAGCTAAGAAAATGTCCTCAACAGATTGTCCCCTGGGCAAGTCTGTGGTACGTTTTCTTGACTGATGATCTGTTAGAACCCGCAAGACTGTACAGGGAATGCACAGTGGACAGACCAATAGGCAGATCCATGGGAAGTGTGTATGTACACATCCACATGGAATAACCCGTTTTGCAGAGCTGTGGAAACATGTGTCCTTTGGAAAAGTCACTGTCTTATCTGCGGAAACCTTGTGAAGCCCTGATCCTTCCCCTTCGAAAAGGGATTCCTTCCCAAAGCACCTCAGCAGCGACTTCTGTACAGTCCGTGGAGTGACCTTGCTCCATTCCCCCCACACTTTGAGGCCTTGGAGCTATGGCTTTCATTCCTTGTTCTAACAGTCAAATTTACATAGAGTCAATCCCTCAAAACTATCTGCTAACAGACCTCATTGAAATTTCTATAGAAGACAGGCACTGAGCTGGAAGGCATCATGCCTCACCTTTGCTAACAAATAAATCTGGGTGTCCCCAAAGCTGGTTATCACAAAAGAGATTAGGTGAGGAGAAAGCATAAATCCAGGATTCAGGGATGTTTAGTAATTTTATCTAATGGTTTGGAATGTCACGTCCTTCCCCTTGAATGTTGACTTTTTTCTGGCTGGTGTCAACTGTTCCAGAGTACTGCTTTGTCAGGTTCTACCTGCCCCTTTTGTGATTTTGGTGTGCATATTATCATTGTTCTTTTCCAACCATGTCTGTAAAAAAACTAGAAACCTTGTAGAGATCATCCCATATTCTTCCCTTCCTTCCTTCCTTCCTTCCTTCCTTCCTTCCTTCCTTCCTTCCTTCCGTCCTCCCTCCCTCCCTCCCTCCCCCCTCCTCCTCCTCCTCTTCCTCCTCCTCCTCCTCCTCCTTCTTCTTCTTCTACCTCTTTCTCCTCCTTGCTACTTCTACTTTCTTCCCCTTACTCTCTTTTTTCTTTCTTCTCCTTATTCTTTTATTCTTCCCCTTCTTCTTCTTTTTCTCTGTGCCCCTCACACTAAAAATAAAGAACATGCAGAGGTAACATACTTGAGTTAATTTTTTTACCCTCAGGCCCTTGCCCACCATACACATCCAACTCTGAGCCCTGAGGGGGTACTGAGGCTGGTACTCAAGGTCCCTGATAATGATTGATGGGAGGAGGGGCAGCTCACTGTAGGTGGGTTCTATAAAAAAGTGGATGAGTAAGCCATGAGGGCCAAGACAGGAAGCAACATTCCTCCATGACATCTGTATCAGTTTCTGTCCCCAGGTCTTGAGTTCTTGTCCCAATGATGGACTCTAAATGACAACTAAAATAAATCTTTTCCTTCTCAAGTTATTTTTGTTCAAGGTGTTTTGTCACCTCAAATGCCATCTTCTGAGCAAGACTCATCTATTACAATCAAGATCTCATAGCATTGGGTCTGCCCAATAATGTGCTTGACAACAATAGGGCATAGCTAGTGTTATGGATTTGCTGCGAGTCCTAAGAGCTGAGGGGGTTGGGCAGGGCCCGGGTGCACCATGCAGCAGGTCTCCAAAGGCAGCTAGCCATGTGGGCGGCGGGTGGTTAAGGGGCAGACAGATAGGCACACCATGCAGAAGGGTTTGCTGCAAGCTTCTGGAGTTCTGGAAGCAACCAGGACAAGACCATGCGGTATGTCTCCATGTGACTATGACAGGCAGGGGAGAGAGACCGATAAATATACCATACAAAGTAAAGTTAAACATTTATTAGGTGGATTATGGAGGGGAAGGAAAAAGGGGAGAAGGAGGAGAGAGAGAGAGAGAGAAAGAGACAAAGGGAGAGAGGGAGAGAGGCAGCCTCTCTGAGAGAGGGGACAGGAAGAGAGAAGGTTGGTGTCTGAGGCTACAGGCAGGAAGGGAGTGGGCGTGGCTTGTCTCTTAAAGAGACAAAACAATCATAAGAGCTAGAGGAAGTTCAGGGGGCCCTACACCTCACGTTGTTCTATTTGCTACTTGTAAGTTTAGGGGGTCAGAGGACTTACTGCCTTTAATCATATACCCACTGGTGACCTCACTAGACTTCAATGGATGGTTCTAATCTAACGGTCACACAGATTTATTAAACTAAATGCATTACAAAACAAAAAAATCTTGAAAAAGGATTAATAGATAAGGGGGGAGTTACTAGGAATGGGATGAAGAAAAGAGAAGGTTGGGGGAGAGTAGTTAGAATGCATTATATATGTTCAGAATTAGAGAACAAACTGTAAAATGATACTTTTTGATAATTGTGAATACAGAAAAGGGAATTTTAAGCAGAAAATTCCTTATTATTCTCATGCTTAATATATTTTAATTTATGAAACTACTATTAGAAAGGGGAGCATCGTTATAAATGCCTTCTTAGTGAATGCAGACATTGGCATGGCTGAGGCAGATATAGAGATTTTAGGGACCATTGCCAAGTGTGGCACAAAAGCATAGAGAGCCTTTATCCTGGGCAATTTGGTGACAGATTTATCTTACCTCTGTTATTCTTTTTTAAAGATATGGGGTGGGGGAAGGCTGGTACCAGGAGGGGCAGACAGTACCACGAGGGCCACCAGTGGCCTTGGTGGGTTCCCAAGACCTCGGTGGGTCCCCAAGGCCTTGGCAAGTCCCTTGAGGGAAGCAGAAAGATACACACACACAGAGAGTTTGGGTATAGAGTTTATTTAGTGGGTTATGGAGAGAAAAGGAAAGGGGGAAGGGGAAAAGGTGGAAGAAGAGAGGGAGGTGGAGGGGGGGAGAAAGAACAGAAGTTATCTCTTCAGGAGAGAGACAGAAAGAGGGAGAGAGCACAGGCTGGAGGAGGCAGAAGATCTGCTTGCCTCAGCAAAAGTGGGGGTTAGGAGTGGGTGGGGTTTGTCTATTAAAGGGGCAGCATACCTACGTGACAGGCCAGGCCAGCAGATCATAACATTCCCATCTCTTTCTTATAATAAATAGGCGGGAAGTTAGGTACACCAGATTAAAGGAATTGGGACGGCGGATTCTCAAGACTGCTTCCTGTTTATTTGTGGGGGTCATCTTGGGGGAGACCTGAAAAAGCTGAATTCTGGTTACATCCTGGGTTATCCTGTCCAGGGTTTTTGGTATGGAACTGTCTGGTGTCTCCTGAACTTGGCAAGGTGTTGGCAGAACACAGGACAAAGTTAAGTTTAGGAAGAAAAATTTTCAGGACCAGGGAATTGAGAGGGGTGTATCTGACCTGTTTAAGGTAGATCCTTCAATTCAGCTCCCTGGAACTCACAAGAATTTTTTCAACTTTCCCTTACAGTACTTGTTGACTATTGGTCCCAAACTAGTATTTAGCCTTAGATGAAGTTTACTACCCTCTTTGGGCTGCATTCCCAAGCAGCCCAACTCCAGAAAGACCTGGGCCTTGCATTCTGGGGGCCACTACTGGCCTCACACCATTTTTTTTCTTCTTTGTCTTTCACAAGTATAAATATCACCTGTTAAGTTGAGAACCAGTACAGTTAAACATGGACCCAGCTCTCCAGGATGGTTCTATACTGTAGTTATAACTTATCTATGCCTGTTATACAGCCCTCAACTTCCCAGAGATCTGGGGAATATGACATTTAAATGTTTAATTATTAAAAGACTTTTCATAACAGAGAGAGACAGGTTGTCTCCTAGCAGCAAAACTCTGCTTCCTCCAAAGAAGACAGAAGACAAATGGGCGCAAAACAACTTCTCCCTCTTATTTTTTTTTTTTTTTTTTAGGAAGAAGAAGCACAACTATGCAAGAAATTATTGTTGCTCCTGGAGTCATTGATGCTTATCAATCAAGATCATGGTCAAGGTGATGACTCACTCTTCAAGTGGAGTTTCTATAGTAAAGCAGGTCAGAGGCTTGCACAATTAATTTTACTTCCTGCTGTGCAAACCAAAAATCAAAGCAAGAAAGAAAGAGGAAAGGATGGATTTGGTTCATCAGACTCATATTGACTACAAGTCATAGGTCCTCAGAGACCAGAACTCACTTTATTTATACATGGAGAAAGATTTTCTGGTCTTCTAGATACTGGCGTTGATATTTCAGTTATAATCACCAGCCAATGACCTTCTAAGGGGCCAAAATTGTAGACTCTTACTCAACTACAAGGAATTGGTCAGACTAGAAATCCTGAACAGAGCAATAATGAGCTGCATTGAAAAGATAGAAAAGGCCATGAGGGAACTTTCCAGCCATATATTATTTCTTACTTACCTGTAAATTTCTGGGGCTGAAGTATTATGTCCAGAATGGGGGTATATTTATCTTCCCCAGCAAAGCTGTTACTTGATTAGGATTACTACCTAATCAAGGTCTAGGCAAGGATAATAAGGGAAAGATCAATCCTATCATACCAGATAGCAGACCTCCTAGAGCAGGATTAGGGTATTTTTAGGAGAGGTCACTGAAAAACCTGTACTCCATGCAAGACCTTATAGTATGGAAAAGTGATGAATCTGTATGGGTAAATCAGTGGCCTCTAACACAAGAAAAATTACAAGCTGCCCAGAAGTTAGTGCAGGAACATACTACATCATCTAATTCATCATGGAATTCTCCAATTTTTACTATTGAAAAGAAATCAGGAAAGTGGAGGTTGATTCAGAATTTAAGGGAAGTTAATGCAACCATGCAGCCAATGGGAGTGTTACAGCAGCCAGGGCTGCCTTCTCCTACAGTGATACCAAAGGGCACCCATAAAATTATTTTAGACTTAAAAGATGTTTTATACCATCCCTTTGGCATCACAAGGTTGCCAAAGATTTGACTTTAGTAACTGCTCAGTTAATTTTATAGAGCCAATGAAGAGATATCAATGGAGCATCTTACCTGAGGGCATGGCAAACAGTGACACCCTATGCCTATGCCAGAAGTTTGTAGCTCAGCGTATACAAAAGGTTAGAGATCAATTTCCATAGGTTTATATCTTGCTCATAGGGATGAGGGGATTTTGCTAGAGACATATGAATTATTACAACAGAGCGTAAGCCATGCAGAGCTGATTATTGCTCCTGAGAAGGCATCCACCTTTCCAATATTTAGGTCGTTTGTTATATCTCCAAAAAATTATGCATCAGAAAATAGAAATTATGAAGGTTGGTTCAAAGACTCCAACCAGCTTTCAAAAGTTGATAGGAATTATCCAATGGCTGAGACCTTATCTAAGATTTCCTACAGGAGACCTCGAGCCTCCAAGTGAAGTCCTTAAAGGAGAAAGTGATCCAGATGACAGCAGGGAGCTTTCAGAAACTGCCAGACAGATTTTTTTTCCCAGATAGAGCAGGCTATACAAAAACAGCAGGTATGTTACATTGATTGCAGCCAAACATGGTAGGCATGTATTTTATCCAAAAAACTAGCTCCTATAGTGGTTTTATGGCAAAAAAGGATGCACCTTTCTGTATCACCAGTTTAGGTATTAATTAGATCCTTATTTTGAAGCAGTAACATGCTTAGCCTAGAAGAACAGGATAGAATCTCGGAAATATTGTGGCAAGGAACTGGCTACAATCAATGTTCCTTATACTAAACAGCAAATTGAATGGTTATTTCAAAGTAGTGATTCTTGGGCAATTACATTTGTTCAATTTCAAGGTCAGGTTGATAATCTTTTCCAAGATGATCAGTTACTGCAGTTTACACAACTGCATTCATTCATTTTTCCTAAAACAGTGGCAAAAGATCCCTTAAAGAATGCTTTGTTAATTTTCACTGATGGCTTCTCTAATGGGAGGGCTGCATATGTGGTTAATGGTAAAGGACATGCCATGCAGACAAAACCGGCTTCAGCTCAGATAGTTGAGCTGCGAGTTGTAGCTTTAGTGTCTCAAAATTTTGCAAAGAAGGTATTTAATTTATATACTAACAGCTGATATATTTATAATGCTCTTCGAGTTCTAGAGACCATCCATTATATAGGATCTAGCAATAAACTAGCAAAGATATTGTTCCAGCAGATTCAGGAGGCCATACAACATAGAAAGGTACCACGTTTTGTGGGACATATCAGAGCGCATTCAAGTTGTCCTGGTCCATTAGCTGAGCATAATGCTTTAGCTGGCAAACTTTCAAGAATAGTTGCTCAGTCTCAAATTGAGCTTGCTCAGCAGTTACATTGTTTGCACCATTATAACACTTTAAGTTTAAGGAAGCAATTTAAATTGACCAGGGAAGCTTCTGACCAACTTTTTAAGCAATATAATAGATGCCCACAATATTTAGCTGTACCTCATTTGGGAGTAAATCCCTGAGGACTGCTTCCTAATCATATATGACAAATGGATGTAACTCATATTACTGGATTTGGAAAATTGAGATATGTGCATGTGACAATCAATACGTATTCAGGATTCATGATGGCCACTGTACAAACTGGGGAAGCCACCAAGCAAGTAGTAACTCATTGCTTGAAATGTTTTTCATGCATGGGAACCCCGAAAGTAATAAAGAGACGGACAATGGGTCTGCATATGTTAACAGAACATTTCAAATTTTTGTGCCCAATAGAATATTGTACTTAAGGCCAGTATTCCTTATAATCCTCAAGGGCAAGGAATTGTGGAGCGTCTGCATAGCTCCTTGAAAACACAACTCCAAAAGAGAAAAGCATGGGAGTTGTATCCTCATAATGTGTTAAATCATGCACTGTTTATGCTAAATTTTTTAAATATGGATGTCCACTATCAGCAGTGGACAGATTGTGACATAATAGTACTAAGACCACCCTTGCTAAAACAAGGTGGCAAGACCCTTGCACTGGAATAGGGAAAAGGCCAGACCTTATATTAATCTGGGGTCAAGGGCATGTCTGTGTTTTTTCCCAGGATGAAAATCAAGCGAGATGACTTCCAGAGTGACTGATTTTGTGTATTCAGCAGACCTGATGACATCATAGCTGATAATGTCCCAGCATGAGAGACAAAATGAAAAGAGATGGAGAAAAAAACCCATGGTCCGGCTTTCTCTGCCTCCACAGAAAGGAATGCCTTATTCAGGACCTGCTGTGACTGTCCTTGTGGCTGTTGCTGTCCCTGTCACTAATCTGTACTTCAAGTGCCATTCTGTACTGCAAGATGCTGAACTGCCTCCAGACCAGACACAGCCAAAGAGGTCCTGCCGAGGTGACCTGACTACAGTGACTACAATTTTCTGCAGTTTGAATCCTGTTTGCTCTGGAGGTGAGATACAGACTGAACATTTGACTGTTTTAGTCACTTAGACACAGAACTCATTTTGATTAAAATATCAGACCTGAGAACTAAGACCTAAGCTTTCCCCTCAGGGAAAGAAAGACTCAAAATAAGAAATGACTGAAAATCCTCTTCAGTTAAGAAGGGGATGGCCTAAGGGTTTAACGGTTGCTCAGAGACTGGAACTCATATTTGATAACAGCAATCCCATTGTACTCTTACCAATCAGAAAAGCTTTTCTTGTTCTTTGATTAATGTGGATTTAAGAAAATTGTGATATGTTTAATTGTTGATTCATTTTTATGATATTGACCAATAATGCTGAGAATTATGGTACTGACCTGATGATGTTTGTAACTGCATATAAGATGTTGAGAAGAGTTTGACACACTCTGTAAATGTTGGAATTTAATTATATATTAAGATTTTTAAATTTTGATATAATGTAAAAGATGTAAGAGGGACTCTAGACTACCTGAAGAAACATTTTCAACTCAGGTGATTCTCCTCTCCTTTAAATATGAGACTATAGCCTTTAGGAGCATAATTATTCACAAAGTATTATAATTTATCCTGACAAGAAAGTATGGCTCCAAGACACAGAGCCCAAAGGAATCTCTCTCCTCTAATCTCTTTTCTTCACAGAAATCAACAGTCAATGATGGGTTTGAAGTTTTTCCCTCTCAGAAACTTAAGACAGGAAGTTGAAAAAATAAAATATGCCTGACTTCCAATGATGAGTAATTTTGGGTAAAGGGAGAGGTCTTTGCCCAAGGCAGACATAATCATCTGTTCCGTTGCAGAAGCACAGGTTTCATTTTAAAATTATTAAGAGAGAGTGAATTGTGGGGCAATATTGTACGGCCACATATTTCTGAATTGTATGGCAACCAGACTCTCAAGCCAGTCACACCTGAGATGGTTACAAAGCACTTACAGATTGGCTGTCTCCTGGGTCAGGATATGCTAATGTTGTTCTGCTCCCTTCTTTGTAATTACAGAGATCACCTGGGAAGAGGTGTTAATCCAAGCTAGTGACAGAGCCTTGGACATGACTTTAATCCTGCTACCCCAGAAACAGAATGCTAATTAACTTCACCCCAAGTTTACCTTTGGGGATAAAAGCTGTTTTGAGAATACACATGGGTGATCTTCAGGATCTGAATGTACCCTGAGACTCCCTTCTGATATTGCTGTGTGAACTGTGTCTCAATTATTCTCCTGCCTCCATGCCGGTCCAGAGAGATAATTTATGTTGGGGATGGATCCCCAACAAGTAAGATACAAATGCAAGTTATTAAGGCATGTACCTGCAAGTTATAAAGGTGTGAAGACCAGTACAGGTTATCAAAATTATCTCTCACACTGCCTTTCCTATTCTTAAAGATATTTTCATTATGCAAAAATATCTGTCACAGTCATTCTGGTATAAATATGCTGCTATTTAAAACTTATGTTTTCACACACTCAAAAAATTCTTGTGAGTTCCAGGGAGCTGAGTTGAAGGATCCACAGAATGCTGAGAGGAGACAGAGATGAAGAGTGACAACGAAACACCCACTGGTCTTGGGCCATCCAGGTACCCTTGATTTGGAGAAGGAAGTGAGAAGAAGATAATGAAGTAGTAGATGAGGGCGGTAAGGAGATAGATGACCAAGGTTGAAAAACACAGGCGAGGAGTATTGCAGTGTTAGGGATAAGAGGAAGGAAGCCATGAAGATTCAGGAGGAAAATATTGGTTAGTAATCCCACATCTGTTTGGAGATTCTTGAAGACATCATGAAGGAGGAATGTGGAAAACTATACTGGAGTTTCTCCATAGAAGAGCAATTGGAATTCATAGCATTAATTTTTGTTTCTATGTGGGTTATCTTTTATTTATGGGTTATTCTTTATTCATGTATTTATTTATATTATTTAATTTTTTCATACATTGTATATTGATTATGTTTTTTACCCTCTCCTAGACCCTCCTAGGTCTTTCTCATCTCCCTACCAACCTAACTTCACTAACTTTATGCTATTTTTTCCTTTCTCCCTATGCCCCCCAATCCAAACAAAAACCTAGTAAGACAAAACAAACAAACCAAAAAAAAAAAACCCAAAGAGCTGAGAACACCCCCCCCCCACTCCCCGCAAAACTCAAATAAAACCCATTGAGTCTGTTCTGTGGTCTCCAGTTTCTTCTGGGCGTGGAGCATGTCCTGGAGAATGGTTGATGCAAACAGAAAAATTTCATTGGTAAATACTTGTTTTTCTTTTCCCAAAAGGTATCAGTTTCTTGGTTAGGGATAGGACTTTGTGTCTAGTTGCTTTTCTCAGTGTTGGGATTTCTTATGGTTTGGACGTATGCAAGTCTAGTGTGTGTTGTCCCAATCTTCATAAATTCATGCCTGTATCAGCCCTGTTGTATCTGGAAGATGCAGTTTCACTGGAGTCTTCTATCAGCCCTGGTCCTTACAGTCTTTTGGCCTACTCTTCTTCATAGATCCCTGAGCTTTGAGCAGAGGGGTTTGATAAAGACATCATATTTATGACTGTGTGCTCCAAGCTGCTTCCCTTTCCTAGATATTGTGAAGAGAACAGCAATGAATATGCACACGTATCTTTGTAGTATAAAGTCTTTTTGGGAATATGGCCCAAATTTATTTCACTATCTCTATGTATTGATGTGTTTATATATCTATGTATCTATCTTCTCTCTGTCTGTCTATCTATCTATCTATCTATCTTTCTATCTTCTACTATCTCTATCATCTATGTCTGTGTGTATGTATGTATGTATGTATGTATGTATGTATGTATGTATGTATGT